ATGTTGCTGATGATGATGATGATGAATATGCTGGCGAGGAGGTTGCTGATGATGATGGTGGTCATGATGATCACGATGGCGACGATGATGATGACCGTGATGATTGTGGCGATGATGAGGACGAGAAGCACGAGGAGGATAATCAGGACGGCTTCGGGTCGCAGCTCAGATCAGACCATGCGAGAATGAGGAGGTATACAAGGAGGGAATCAGGATGAGGGACGATGGAGGAAACGGAAAGCCGGAGTAGGAGGGACAAGGTACAAACGGATGTGTATGGACAGTGGGAGGCAGGAGGGACACCGGAGGAGGACGAAAAAAGACGAGGATTGAAGAGGTAGTAAGGATGGGACATGGATGAAGATAACCAGTTAAGGAGTAGTAAGGGCGAACGCCGTGCATAAGCAAGGAGGAAAGGACAGGTGACGGGAGGACGGAACGAGGGACGGGGTATGGATAATATTTCGAGAAGGGATCAGTAAGGGGGGGAGGAGGGAGGAGGGGAGAGATGGGCAGGTGCGACAAGGAAAGAGGATCATGATGACACGGAGCAGTCCGCGACGAGGGGGAAGGAGGGAGGCGGAGGAGAAGGAGGGAGGAGGGATGGGGGTGTGGGTGAAGCTGGGGAGGAGGGGGGAGGGCAGGACGGGCACGATTAACCCAGCCCTCCCGGCAGGGTGCAGGCCGCCCTCTCGGGCGGCTACGCCCACGCCATCTCGCAGAACAAGGGCCCCAAGCGAGGCCCTGGGGGACGACCCGAACAGCAGCAGTGATGTGGCTGCGATTCGGCCCTCCCCCGCGCTCTTCCCTTCCCACTCCTCCCCCCCCCCCCCCTCTTGTCTTATTCCCTCTCCTCCTGCTCGGCTCCCTCCCCTTTTCGCCCCCATGGCACCTGTGCCACTGGGTGCCCTCGGGAGTCCCAGAAAAACAAGCGGGTTGCAGCCTCATCGTCACCCCTGTTTGCCCGTAGTGTGCCTGGGGGAGAGAAAGTTGCGCCTCGTCGCCATGTTTCCCACCCGTTGCGGTGGCCCGGCACGTACAGCGCCTGCGCCTGGGCGGGTGGGACGTCCCTTGCGGGGGGCTCATTGTGGATCCACATCTATTCTTCCCACGGCCAGGGTCCCCCGCCATGGCGTGCGTGGAGGTGTGTGGTCGCCCGAGGGAGCGGCACCCCTCGGGTGGCTTGCTTATGGGGGCGGCACGCCGAATCAGTCCTGGCAGTCGCTGCTGGACGGGGGTGACCGTCGGATCCAAGATGTCGTTGTCGATTTTTGTTGGCGGGCACCGCGCAACCCTTCAGAGCAGCACAGAGCTGTCAAATGTTGCGCGGCGGTTGCACGACGACGGCGGTTGCGCGAAAGGAACGTGTTTGAAACTATTAACGTTCGCGCGCGGTGATGCTAAAGCAAAGTGGACCTGCACGCGACACGTGAATTGCAATACCACGTTTGCAATTGTTCTTGAACATATTGGTTCTGCGTCGCAAAAGGTGTGTGTGTACGATTTCACCATAACTCAGTTTCTTTGTTTTACCGTTTCTTGATGTTTAACTGTTCGATTTGTTCATTGTTTTGAGCTTTTGGTCGAAACAGACCGTGTGGTATATCAATCGAGTTCCGCCCGTTATCGTCATTTCGTAAGTGGGGGGGGGGGCAGGTTGAACCGAGATGTCGTTGTTTTTTCAAAGGGTGGTTACCCATGAAATCTAAGTATATATTGTCTTTGTTTTTGATTCGCAACTAAGAGTGCGCCGGGAGCGATCACGTCGAGTGGCGCGTCGCTGCGTGAGGGCAGTGCGCCCGCCGCCTCGGAATGGTCAGAAAGCGCGGCGCGACAAGGTGCGTGTTGCGCGCGGCGCGCCAAGGTGCGTGTCGCCTGATCCGCTCTTGGTGGTTTGGCCACGAAGCAGTGTACATCTTAATGATGGAGGGATCAATTTGGTGGCATCACGCATCACGTTTTCTCGTGTTCCACAAGTTTTTTCGGCGGGCCCCACGGGTGGGCCTCCTGTCCTTCGTAGCCGCGCTTCTCATCGTGTTCGCGGGGTTCTTATTGTAGTGGCCCCCGACCAGTGCCGCCGATCCGGGGCGCTTCCCTTGCTGCCGGAAGCGCGCGATGGCGGTCATGACTGGCGACGACGGCGAGCGGTGATGATGATGATGATGATGAGGATGAGGATGAGGATGAGGATGAGGATGAGGATGAGGATGAGGATGAGGATGAGGATGAGGATGAGGATTGGGAATGGAGGCGACGGAGTAAGATGAGGACGAGGATGAGGACGAGGAGGAGGAGGAGGAAAAGGATGGGCCGTTTTCGGCACTTCTTTCGCCGTCCTGGCGCCCTCTCAGGCGCCTCTTGGGCCCGTCCTGGGGCCCGGTTGGGCCTTTCCGGGGGCCTCTTGGGCCATTTGGGGCGTTTTCTTGGGCCGTATTCGAGCCCCCCCGGCGGCTTTCTGAGCCGTTTTGGGGCTCTCTCGGGGCGTTTGCGACGCTGTGAACGCCCAAGAGGCGAATTTGCTAAACTTGTATGTTGCCCCAGGGAATGTGTCATTTCTTGCTTCTTTGGGCCTTCTTTGGGAGGCCTGCTCAGGGTTTCTGAGGGCATCTTGGAGGCTTCTGGGGCCGTCTTGGTGACATTTTGGGCGTCTTGTAGCGATCGTTCGGCGACCCGGGGCCCTCTTGGCATGTCGGGGCCTTCCTGGGCGAGGAGGCCGTCCCGGAATGAGCTGGAGTTCCGATTCCGCCCTAGGATTAAAGCGACCCCCCCCTCCCCCTACCACGGCAGAGCACCCGCCCCCCAGTAGAGTTGAAACTCAAGAATTGGGGCTCAGGCTGTGCCGAGTGTCTTTGAAACTCACGCGCCATATCGGCGGATTTTAAAGTCGCTCTTGTGATGGCGAAAATCCTGGAAATCCTTTCTCCCCCCTCCCTCCCTCGTTCCTTTTGCCTCGCCACTCCTCCCGCCCCCCTCGTCTCCTCTTCTTCCCCTTCCTTCCTGGTCCTTCCTCCTGGATGCCCCCTCGTATTCCGGAGGGGGCTTGATGCGCGCGCCGCGCCGCTTGGCCGGCCAAGGGGCCAACGGATTCAGCGACAGCTTTTTGAATCGCTCCAGCAACCCGCAGACAGGTTGGGAAACTCGCCCGTCTATACACAGAACTTTTCGGCCGATCATACGAAGTTGTCTCTACTTCGGGCCTGCCTTAGTCCCTCATCACTCTTCATCTGACTCCTCCTCCTTCTCTCCTCATCCTCCGCCTCTTCCCCCTCTCCCTCCCCCCTCTTTCTTCTCTTCCCGATCCTCCTCCTCCGCCCCCTCCAGGGAGCGGGGGGTATTTCAGGATCGCCCAAAAGGTGAGGATGTCATCGTCACCTCTGGCAGCGACGGCCCTAGCTGCGCCCAGCCTTTGTCGACCGTCATGGAGGCGGAAAGCAGGTGCCACCCGGGGGCGGAAGGTTGCCAAGGGGAGGGGGCAGAAAGAGGGATGGAGTGACTGGAGAGGAAAAGTCACAAGGTGGAGCTTGAGAAAGGGCGGTGGTGATGGGTGACGGATGTTGCATATGGGAAGGAAGTTCCGCGCGCAACGGCACATTTCATGACCATGACGACGCCGCCGACGATGACGATGATAGAGACGAAGCGCGCTTGCGATCCGCAGCGACGCACTGATTTCGGCAAGGGCACGCCCTGCGAGTTTTGGCAGATGCCCAGCACACCGCCGAGCGGTGCTGCGGCCTCCCCACGAGCACTGGCCAGCCCTTCCCTCGGAGCAACAGCCAAAGCTATCGGCGTTGCGCGCTCATGCTTTGCTGAGCTCAGGGCGTTTGCCAGCATCCTCTCCCCATCCGCCTCCTCCTCCTCCTCCTCCTCCTCCTGCTCCGCCTCCTCCTCCTCCCCCTAACTTCGCCCGTGCTGCCGGCAAGGGAGAGGGCGGCGGTAGCGCACGCGTCCCGGAGCCGAGAAACCATCAGCGCCACAGCTCAGCGAGCCGGGAATACCGACAGACAGACAGACAGTCAGCCACGCGGCGGGAAGACAGCCAGGCGGCTCGGCGGACAGACAGCCAGGGAGGACGGAGGATGGAAGATGAGGGATGGCTTTCCCTTTGACATCATCGTCCCTCCCTGGGTGGGGGGTCAAGTGGAAGGAAAATACACGGGTAAGGCCTCTCGGGGCGTTTTTGGTACCTTCTGGGGGCCTCTTTTGGGCCTCAGGGGGGCCTCTTCGGCCTGCTGGCAGTTTCTCGGACGTCTGCGGGCGGTCGCGGGGGTCCTCTTGGGGCGGGGGGCTCGGATTGTCAGTTCGAGTTGCATCTCTTGCACTCCTTTGGGGACCTTGCTGGGGCCCCTCTGGGACCATCTTGGGCGCCGCTTGGGCCGTTTTGGACCCTCTTCGGCCGTCTTTGGGTTCTCCCGGGGTTCTCTTGGGCCCTCTTGGAGCGATCTTTGAAGTCAGAACATACGCTTCCCCGGAGGATCGGGAAAATTGTTGCTTCTTGGAGCCCTCGTGGGGGTCGTCTTCGAGGCCGCTTGGGCAGCTTTGAGCTTTGAGGCCATCTACGTTACTCGTTACTCTTGAAGCCTAGTCGGGGTGTTCGAGCACATCTTGAGCCAGCTTACAGGGCACCTTGGGCATCTTGCATGCCGCGGACTGTGGACCTGGAGCCCCAGAGGGCCCTGGAGAGGCGCTCACGATGAGCAGCTTCCCAAGGTCACCCGTGCATCCTTTCCCTTCGGCCCATACTTGGCCGCTTTCGCTGGCCGCGCCCTGCTCGCAAAGTCTCGGCATGGACTTCCGCGGCCCTTGCATCTTCACCATGCGTCCGTCGTGGAAAGGGTCGACTGTAGAACGGGATTCTGGAAGGATTTTGCGATGGATGTTTTCCTGTAGGCGGCGAGCGGGGGGAAGTCAAAAGAAGAAGGCCTTTTCAGAAGGCAGCGGGACTTTTCACAGCCCCCCCCCCGCGTTGTTTAAAGTTGTCGCTGTCTTCGGGGAAGGCTTGGGGACCTTCTCGGAACGCCGTGATGCTTCCGAGCCTTCTGACAAAAAAGGGCCCGTTTCCTCTCGCTTCCCCCCCCGTCGTCCGCCGCCAATCCTACCCTGGGGCCCCTGCCGAGGGGGGGGGGCCCAGGGCCGCCCATCTGCGCCATCAGACGATCGAAGCCTCGACGATTTGACTAACCAAGGCGCCTCTTCCCCCGCCGCCCCCCCCCCGCCCCTCACCACCAGTTCCCTTCCTTATCATTTTTCTAGGCACGCAATGCTGGGCCTCGAGGGCCAGGCCTCGCCACTCCCCTGCCCCCCCCTCTTCCTCTTCCCCCCGCCCCCCCCCCTCCCGTCCTGACCGCCCGCGGCTTCCGCCTGCAACCTCTTGGTTGCAGTGCTCTTTGCCGCGGGTATACTGTTGCCGTGTATGTGGGGGTGCGGGCGCTGGGCAACGCTCCGTGTATTTTCCCTTGGGCGCCGATCCCGAACCCCCACGCGCCATTTTGGCGCGGGGTGTAGGGCGGTTCTTGATTTGCGTTCTTTTTCTTGATTTCCTAAGGCACAACGTTTCTGGCGCTACTGGGACTTAGTCAGGGAAAGGAAGCAGGAGGTCAGGTCCCAGCTTGTGTCCGTGATTCCCCTTTTTTGCGCGTGTGCCCTTGGTGTTGGCCGTTGGCCACTTTGGCCGTTGGCCAGGGCATGTTGGCCCGCGCTTTCTTGAGCGCCACGGTTTTGTTCTGCCTCTTGGGGCCTGTAACCTGATTCCCATCCTGACCTTCTTCTCCCCGCCCCCTCCTTCCCGCCCCCCCATCCTCTCTCCGCGCCGCGCCGTCCTCCCTGCCCATTCCTCCCCTGGTCTTTCCATTCCTATCCTCCTCTCCTCCCCGTTCTTCTTTTCCGGAGTATTGCTGTCCTTTTTTCTGTTATTCCCCCTCCTCTTCCTCCTTTCTCCCCCTCCTCCCCCCCTTTCCGCAATTCCCCCCCGCCCCTCCCGTCCCCCGCCCATCCTCATCTCGCCCCTCTCTTCCTCGCGCCCCTCCTTCCCGCTGCTCCTCGTCATTGCGGAAGGGCGTGCCTTGTCCGGGGTAGAAGTTGGAGGCCGCGACGAGGCGAACCAGGCGCGTCGAGCCACGCGGCCCGACGACGGCGAAGGAGTGGCAGCGCTGGTCGGCCAGCGCGGATCGCATCAGGAAGATGACTCAGCGGGGCGGGATCAGAGCGCGAGTGGAAACAGACAGAGGGAGAGAAAGAGAGAGAGAGAGAGAAAGAGAGAAAGAGAGAAAGAGAGAGATACATCAAGAAAGAATGCAAGGGGGAGAGAGAGAAGGATGTCGAGAGAGAGAGAGGGAAAGAGAGAGAGAGAGAGAGACAGAGAGAGGTTGAGGGAGGGAGGGAGGGAGGGAGAGAGAGAGAGGGGGGAACAAATAAATAAAACAGAGAGAGGGAGAGAGAGAGAGAGAGAAACACAACAAAAAACACGGAATACATATATATATATAAAGAAAGAGAGGGACAGAGAGACAGAGAGACAGAGAGACAGACAGACAGACAGACAGACAGACAGACAGACAGACAGACAGACAGACAGGCAGGCAGACAGACAGAGACAGACCGACAGACAGACAGACAGACAGAGAGAGAAAGGAATCCATAACTAAACAAAGAGAGAGAGAGAGAGAGAGAGACACACACAAAAAGAGAGAGAGAGAGGGAGACTTATTTTTTTGTTCTTCCAAAACCCGCCTGTAGGAGAACATGCCCGGCCTGAGAGTATTTCGCACGATGTTGCATCGCGCCCCAGTCTAGGATCCCTGCTGCCCCGCCCCTTCTCGGGCCACGGCTCGGCTTTGCGGCGGCCGCTCAGGACGAGCCGGGCACCCCCTGCGGACGCACATCAAAATTCGAGGCCTCAAACCGCCGAGACCCCCCCCCCGAAAATTGCCCCACGTCCGCGGCTCCGAGAACCGATCCGGGTCCCCGAGGCTGGGATGCAAGTCCTGGGAGGTTGCATTCTGTATCGGCGCTTGCATTTTTCGCGGTCGGCAGCTGGCCTAATCTGTGCGAGCCCTGCTTAATCCAGCTGAATCACGCCTAGTCTCGCTCAGTCCAGCTCCATCCAGCTTCATCCCGGGCTCAATCGCGGAACCTGGCTTAAAATTTGGCGAAGGGGCCCCCTTATCGGGCTTGGTCGCCCTGAGTCGTTCCATCGAAGAGCTCCCAGGAACTGCTTCGGTAGCAAATCGTGGGAGCCTGGTATACCCGCTCAATTCCGTCTTTCGCGCCGATGAGCGTCCATTAGCGTCGGGGAGTCGACGAGATAGCGTCGACGGGATAGCGTCGACTGGCGTCGACTCGGCGTCGAATAGCGCCGATCCGCAAGCGCCGACGAGCTGATGTGGGAGGCTCCCGTGAGCTGCCACCGAGAGTTGCCTCCTAACCTCGGGGGCGGAAAAGAGGGCGGTGATGACTAGGGGGGGTGGATACCGTGGCGGGGGCCATGATTTTTCCCCAGATTCTTAGGCTTACGCCACACCGCCGACCCCTTGTTTATGCCAATCTGGGGGTAGTAGAAGCTGCGAAGGGGTGAAAAGGCGAGTGATATTTGTTTGGTGTCTGTTCGCCGCCACCGCCAGAGGGTCTCGGGCAGTTCCGCGGGGAGGTCCGAGCGGACAGCGACACTGCGAGTTTTGGAGCCACTCGGGGGCCGTTTCGGAGCCTCTGGGGTGCTTCTTGGGGGTTCCTTGGGGCGTCTGGGCGGCCTCGTGAGGGCCTCTGGGGGCCTCTTGGGGCACTCTTGGGGCCCCCTGGGGCTCCTGGGGGCAGAAAGCTAGAGTTTCAACATGTTTGGTCGCCCTCTTGGGCCCCTCGTGGTGCCGTCTTGGAGCCCTCTTGGGCCGTCTTGGGGACCTCTTGGGCCGTGTTGGGGCCGTCTTGGGCCGTCTGGAGGCCGTCTTGGGGGCCTCTTGGGCCATCTTGGGGCTGTCTTTGGGGCCTCTTTGGCCGTCTTGGAGCGTCGGGAAGCCAGAAAGGCGGAAAAGCAAAAAACGTCGAAGAACACTATGGAAAATCAACAATTTGAGACTCTTGGGGCCCTCTTGGGAGGCTTGTTTGGGACCTCGGGGGCCGTCTTGGAGACCTCTTGGCCCGTCTTGGGGCCATCTTGGGCGTCTTGGAGGGGTCGTTTGGCGTCTCGGAGCCTTCGTGGGCCGTCTTGGAGGCCTCTTGGAGCCTTCTTGGCCCGTCTTGAGGCCCTCTTGGGCCCGGAAAAGCTCCGTGAACCGCTCGTCCCGGCCGTGCTGCGCTCGTCCTGGCCCCCTCCCCGCCTCCAAATCGGCCCTCTTGGGCCGTCTTGAGGACCTCTTGGGCCGTCTTGGGGCCGTCCTGGGCCGTCTGGAGGCCGTCTTGGGGGCCTCTTGGGCCATCTTGGGGCTATCTTTGGGGCCTCGTCGCGCGTCTTGGAGCGTTGGGAAGCCGGAAAGGCGGAAAAGCAAAAAACGTCGAAGAACACTATGGAAAATCAACAATTTTAGACTCTCGGGGCCTTCTTGGGAGACTTGTATGGGACCTCGGGGGCCGCCTTGGAGACCTCTTGGCCCGTCTTGGGGCCATCTTGGGCGTCTTGGAGGGGTCGTTTGGCGTCTCGGAGCCTTCGTGGGCCGTCTTGGAGGCCTCTTGGAGCCTTCTTGGCCCGTCTTGAGGCCCTCTTGGGCCCGGAAAAGCCCTGGAACCGCTCGTCCCGGCCGTGCTGCGCTCGTCCCGGCCCCCTCCCCCCCTCCAAATCGGCCCTCTTGGGCCGTCTTGGGGACCTCTTGGGCCGTCTTGGGGCCGTCTTGGGCCGTCTGGAGGCCGTCTTGGGGGCCTCTTGGGCCATCTTGGGGCTATCTTTGGGGCCTCTTTGCCCGTCTTGGAGCGTCGGGAAGCCGGAAAGGCGGAAAAGCAAAAAACATCGAAAAACACTCTGGAAAATCAGCAATTTTTGACTCTTTGGGCCCTCTTGGGAGGCTCATTTGGGACCTCAGGGGCCGTCTTGGAGACCTCTTGGCCCGTCTTGGGGCCATCGTGGGCGTCTTGGAGCGGTCGTTTGGCTTCTCGGAGCCTTCGTGGGCCGTCTTGGAGGCCTCTTGGGGGCTTCGTGGCCCGTCTTGAAGCCCTCTTGGGCCAGGAAAAGCCCCGTGGAGCGCTCGTCCCGGACCCCCCCCCCCCTCCGGAGCGCTCGTCCCGGACCCCCCCTCCAAATCGACCGGACCGGGCTCCCGGGGGAGGGGTTTGGGGAGGGGGAAGCATCTCACACGCCGATGATCCCCAAGGGGTCGGCGGATTTCATGGCGCCTCTTCTTATTTCATTATGTCCCTCGCCCCCCCGCTGGGCCGCGCACATGCCGCCGGTCATGATTTGCACCCCCCCCTCTTGAAGACAACCCCCTCTTGGCCGCTCCCGACGAACCGAGGCAACGGCGTCTACAACGTGTCCCTGCTGATGGACGGCCACGGCGGGCAGGGCGTGGTCAGGCACACACCCCCCACGGGGGGGGCGGGCGCCGCCGCGGCCCCGCGCCGCCCGCCTCGAGCGCCCTGCCGCCCCCTGTCCCTCTGCGCGTCTGCTCCTGCGCTCGTGCACCTCGCTGCCTTCTCCCTCTCATCGGGGGCGGCAAAGAGTCAGGAACAAAACGACCACACAAACATAATAACAGTAGTACCCTTTTGGCGCAACTCCGCGAAAAGCGGCTGAGACCGAGTCGCAACAAACATCGGCCAATGCTCGCACCAGTTCGTCCGTGATGCCGCAGTTCCCCCAAGTGCGCAAACGGCCTGTATAGGGCGAGCAGTTGCTGTCGTAGCTCCCCTGCGTCATTGCCGCTCCGAAAATCAAGCACCAACCTATCCGCGATGGTTGTTTGGGGTGTGCGGAGCAGGGTTCTTGGCTTCTTTTATGTCATTGGGTGTCCTGGGGTGACATAAAACTTTTGATTCGCGCGCCAGCCCGCGCGCAGAGGCGGGCGCCCAATCGGAAATTGTGCGCCTATTATGTTTATGTCGGCTTCTCGTTCCCTAAAGAGGGGGGTGATGACTAGGGGGGGTGGATATCGTGGCGGGGGCCATGATATTTCCCCAGATTTCATGGCGCCTCTCCTGGCTTCAGTACGTCCCTGGCCCCCCCGCTGGACCGCGCACATGCCGCCGGTCATGATTTGCACCCCCCCCTCTTGGACACCCCCTCTTGACCGCTCCCGACTTAGGTCTCCTAGGTGGTGTCGGGGTACAGGCAACCCGCCTAGCAAGGATCGGCAACCTGCCCAAGTGTACCCTTGCATCCTTGCCCCTTCGGCCCATCATTTGCGACTCTCGCTGGCCAACCACGTTTGAAAAGCGCCAACGTGGCCCTCCAAGGCCCTTGCATCCTTACCGCGTATCCTTACGATACGGGTCGACTGTAGACGGAGTCGGAAGGTCGCGCGGCATCGCCGATGCATCGGCGATGCACCGGCGATGAGGCTCGATGCGGGCTCTGATTTTTTTCACGCCGACGTCGCCGACGCATCGCCGATGTCGACGATGCATCGCCGATGCTGGGCGATCCTCCGACCCCGTCCACTCGGACCCCATCTAGGAGGCCTCTAGATTCAGAGGAGGAAAAGGTACCCGTACCGCTACCCTTCTCTCTTTTCCCCCTTCTTGGGCCTCCTGGCAGGGCCTTGTTGCCACCGCAGGATTCGCCTCGAAGTTCTGGTCCGAACACAGCTTGAGAGAGGTCTGGGAAGTAGCGGTATTGGTACCTCTTGGTTTTCCCTTTGATGTCGGGGAACAGATGGGCGACGCAAAAAAATGTCGTTTGCGCCGACATTGGCGCATCAGTTTCCCGCGGAAGGTCGCGCGTGAGCGCCCTCGTTTCCGGCGCAGCGTGTCGCGCCAGCGGCCCGCGTAAGTCACCGCGGAAGGTCGGTAAACCACCTCGCGTTTTCTGATCGTCGCTCTAACGCTGCCATACAGGGTGGCGACCTCCTCCAACTCCTCCTCAGGAGGAGTTGGAGGAGGAGGAGGAGGAGGAGGAGGAGGAGGAGGAGGGGGAGGAGGGGGAGGAGGGGAAGAAGGAGGAGGAGGAGCAATTTTTTTCGCACGATGACTAACTCAGCCGCCAGAGTCAGAGGGTGAGCTGGAAGCCTGCCTAGGGGAGTCCCCGAGGCGCGCTGCAGTGCGACTGGATCAGAAGGATGCGCGTCAAGGCTGCCATAGTCAGGAGGGAAAAGCACACAGACAAAAATTTTCGTCGATTCCCATGTAAATGTGGGAAAATGTGGGAAGAGGGGGGGAAGACGAAAACCCTGAAAATATAAGAAATGAATGGGAATCCTGGGATTTGTGTCTATTTCTTTGTGTGTCCATGAGCCCCTTTCACATAGGGGAAGGAACAACGACATAAACGTAGAACTTGGAGGTCCGCCCGGATTTCTCGGATCGGCGCTGAGGCCCTTGGCGGCGCTTGCGGCGCCGGACCTAGCGCGCTCCGCGCGCCAGGGAGAGGGGCCCAGCGACGGTTCGAAACATCCGCGCGGGCCTTCGAGATTGGTTCTTCGATGATGGTGCTCCAGCTATTGTCTCCTCCCTCCACTCCCTCCCTCCGCATCATCCCCGTCTTCATTTCTGTCCACCCGTCCTCGCTTCCTTCCGCCAGTTTCCCTCCTGGCCTTCCCTCTATTCACACCCTCTTCCTCCTCGTTGTCCGTTCTCCTCTTACCCCTCCACTCCCCCGCCTCCTTTGATCTCCTTTGCCCCCTCCTCCCTCCGCCGTCACCCTTCATCACTGCTTCTCCCTCTCCCTCATCCACCTCATTCGTCCTCTTCCTCTTCTGCAAGTCCTCCTTCCTCCCTTCCTCCCCTTCCCTCCTCACTTCCTCCCTTCTCCTTCGCCCTTCCCTTGCCTCATCCCTCTCTCCCTCTCGCTTTTCACCATCTCTCATCCCTCCTCCGCGGCAAGGGGGGTCGCTGCTCGTGACGGGGTCGGCGGTGACCGGATTTCTGGCGGATGTAGCTCCCACCTCCTTGGATCTAGGGCCTACAGCCAAGACGCTGGCATGAGGAACAGTTTGGGTCCGGAAGGGGCTCGAAGTTCCTCAGGTCCTTCCGTGGCTATTCTTCTGTCCCTACTCGTGCACGCAGGCGCTCTTGGGGGCCAAGAAAGGGGCTTCGTTCCCTCCGCGTCGTTCCTTCTTTCAGCAGCCCGACCGTCGGGTGGGGAGTCGGCCTGTGAAAACATCCGTGTCCGCCGGAGGGACGTCGTTCCTTGTTTTTCGCTCCTTATTCTTCGTCCCTTATATCAGCAGCCCGACTGTCGGGTGTGGAGTCGGCTCGGTAAGACAACCGTGTCCGCCGGACCCGTGGAGCCCGGCTCGGGTGGCGGCTTGGCGGACCGCTCGCTTTTTGGCGCCCGGGGGCGCGGCGAGCTGCCCCACTTGGCATCGGCGGTGTGCTGCGCCGGCTCCCGCGGCGGCCGTGGGTGCGCTGGGTGGGCTTCGGAGTGTCCGAGCCGAGCATTTGGCGACGCGCAGTGTGGGGGGTACGGGGAGGAGGAGGAGGAGGAGGAGGAGGGGGGGAGGGGAGGGGAGGAGGAGGAGGAGGAGGAGGAGGAGGAGGAGGAGGAGGAGGAGGAGGAGGAGGAGGAGGAGGAGGAGGAGGAGGAGGAGGAGGAGGAGGAGGAGGAGGAGGGGAGGAGGAGGAGGAGGAGGAGGAGGAGGAGGAGGAGGAGGAGGAGGAGGAGGAGGAGGAGGAGGAGGGGGAGGAGGAGGAGGAGAAAGAGGAGGGGGAGGAGGGGAAGGAGGAGGAGGAGAAGGAAGACGAGGAGGAGGAGGAGGAGGAGGAGGAGGGGGAGGAGAGGGAGGCGGGGATGTCTCCTTAGATCTTAGAAGCACCCTGCTTTCCAAGGAGGCGCGGGCCTTGGCCCAGCGCCTTCTGAGGAGCTGCCTCCTGCTTGGAAGCCCTCCCCCCTCCCCTGTGCCCCCCTCCCTGCGCGCCGCCACGCATCTCCCCCTGGGTGAGGCCATCCGGGGGGGGGGACCAGGACGAGGAGAACTCCGTTCCAGAGCGTTCCAGAGGGCTCTCAGAGCGCCCTGGAACGCTCCGAGAAGGCCGCGGCGCTCGAGACATCCTCCAGAGCCGCTGGATCTCAGAGAAGGAGGAGGGCCAGAGCCGCTGGATCTCAGAGGAGGAGGAGGAGGAGGAGGAGGAGGAGGAGGAGGAGGAGGAGGAGGAGGGGGAGGAGGAGGAGGAGGAGGAGGAGGCGGAGGGGAGGAGGGAGGAGGAGGAGGAGGACGGGGGGAGGAGGAGGAGGAGGAGGAGGAGGGGGAGGAGGAGGAGGAGGAGGGAGGAGGAGGGAGGAGCTTTCCTCTGGTGGGCCTCTTTGTAGGCAGGCCTGGACGCGTCGCCACTGCTGGACACTTCCAAGCGGCGCGGCGCACCGACCAGCTCGCCCGGAGTTTCCTCGAGGACCTGGCCACCGGGTGGCCTCGTGCGCGTCGCGGCCGCCCCGGGAGGCGACCCCTGGCCTCTGTTCAACGGCACCGTAACGGGTACCTACTAACGGGTACCTTGAAATTTTGCCGAAAGTTGCCACTTTAGGGCCTTTTTCTTGCATTGCAGCTTTGCCCTCATCGGGAAGGGTTGGGTTCGCTGGGTCAGTTATCAAAGTACCCGTTAGTGGAGTCCCCGTTTGAGGGGCGCTGATTTGTAATATGGAGCCAGGACGAGGAGACCTGCGGGTGAGGATGAGGAGGCCTCCAGTCGAGGTTCCCGTGGAGGCCGAGGACCAATTCGGGCGAGCCTAGATCTGGGTGGGGATAAGACTGGTCGAAGGACTTCTTGTGGCCTGCGCGGCATGTTCCTTCAGCAGTTCTCGCTGGGACTGTCTTGGTTCAACCCACCAGCTTTCCGTCCTAAAACCTTTGCTTTCGTTTTTGCAACACCGCTTGGTTCGAAGCAGTTGTCGTGGTAGGCCCGTAGGAATGCCGGGGCGGCTGGTTCCTGCTCAAAAGTGCGCTCTGCGGCCCGCCCTGTCTTACGGGCTTCGGTGGTGGCTGCTCGCCCGCCTCCAGTCATCCGGCACTTCTCGACACTTCTTGCACGAGGGTTAAGGAAGGAAAAACATCGCAGGCGATGTTTCTCCCCCGACCCCCAACTCTTCGACGGAAAATGGGGCCGCTCAGAAGAGAGGGGAAACCCTGGGATGCACCCCAAGGGGGCTATCCGGACGCTCCCCCCATCCAGGATGGACGCCCCCCCATCGTAGATCCCAGGGTTGGGCCCCACATGTCTGGTCAATTCGGAACACCCCACGAAGCCTGGGATGAGGGTACCCTTCTGTTCTTCGCCGTTTGGCTCTCCACCTCGGGGTGCTCTTCGTTCTGGGCCTCCTTGTTGCGAGTCTCGGCGAAAGGGGGGGGGGGGCCCGTGTTCTGGATCCGCGTCCGCGTGACCCTGTTCCGGCGGCACCGCTGCTGGCCTCCCTTCCTCGGGGGCGGCCACGAGGGGGGTGACGACCAAGGAGGGTGGCCATCATGGCGGGGGCCATGTATCTCCCCAGGTTTCATGGCGTTTCTTCTTTTCTTAAACAGGGGAAGCCCGTGCCAAGAAACACCCTGCTTGCCTCCCATGTGCTCTGGGTTACTTGTGTGTCGATGGTTTTGCAATGGACAGCGTGACGTTCCAACCAAAAATCAATTGTCGTCCTGGGGTTTCGGGGTTGGGTTTCTTGTGGGAGGTTTCTTGTGGACTGTCCTCCACTGTAGGGGGAGTGGATCTCACGGCGGGGGCCATGATATCTCCCCAGAGTTCCTGCCGCCTCTTCTTGCAATGCGTCCCCAGCCCCCCCCCCCCCCCCCCCCTTGGGCCGCGCACATGCCGCCAGCCATGATTTGCGCCCCCCCCCCCCCCCCCCCCCCCCCCCCCCCCCTCTTTCGGTGGTGGCTCAAAGATGGGGTCCTGAGGGATGGGGTCCTGAGGAATAGGAAGGGATCTTAGGAGGGT